CGACTCTCCGAATTGCGAAGTTTGTGCGCGCGGGAGTGCGAATTGTGCAGAAGGCCACCCTAAGGCTCAGGAAGGTCCTATAGGGATCCCTTTTGGGTTTCCTTATGTTGGTTTCATCCTTCTAAGTGTTAGAAGTCGATATCACACACGCGAAACTCCAGAAGGGGACGGAAGTAGGTCGAACTCCTAAAACGAGGCGGGTCACATTTCTAAGGCTCTAAGATAGTCGCCGGGAGACCCCTAAGGCTAGATCCTAAATCCTAAGAGAAAGACTAGACCTCACTAAAAATGAGGTCAACATGCGCGTGGCTGTAGAGAGGTACGGTAGCAGGGAGTAGTGTGGGAGGATTTAGAAATGAATAAGGGGATGATAATCATCACTTTGGGAGAGAGATACAACTAGAGTACCACCCAATCCCTCGAAAGGGAAAACGGATGTCGACGGCTGTCTTGATAGAAATTTAAAATCTAGAATTAATCAAAAGCTAACCCAAAACAACCAAAACCACACATATATAATAACTAATAAATAAAACATGATGGAATTAGAATAGGAAGGAAATAAAATTAGGAAGGGGATAGAAAAGGTGAAGGGATTAAATAGGAAAAAAATAAACTATGCTAAGCGCTCGTGTCACCATGATTAATTGATAGTTCTGCTCGGGATTAACTAGATGTTGATCCAGTAAAATGCATCATGGGAGTTCTTTAGTGGCCTGAACTTCTTCTATAGCATCATAATTTTTCAATCTTATGCTTCTATCAACTTCTAGCTACAAAATCGCTTCCTACACACTTTCTATAGGCATGATGTAGCAAGCTTTGATTGCATGAGGTTCCCCGTTACAGTAACTTCTCGCTCCCTATTGGGTATTTGATTGTGAAATAGTAGATTGAGATGACTCTCTAAAAGTCTTCAAGAGAGTCCTTCCAAAATGGCATATATGTAGCAGGTATATCTATCCTCCCCTTGTGATAAGCAGAATGTTCACACTTCAAATTTCCTCTCTTCTTGGAAAATTATTGGAAGGACTTGATTTTAGTATCAACAAGTGGTTTCCCAGGTTAATTTTTTTGGATGCTTTCTTGAAGATATTTTGACGGGAACTCCAAATATCAATTAGAATGCTCCCAATTTATTAGTTCCAATCGAAGCCATGACCACCATCACATCATTGAATGAATTCTTCCTTGCTGGCCTGTCAGCTTCAGTGAAAGTAATGGGTGTTTTTGTGCAAAGCACCCTTGAAGTGCTGGTTGAGTTCACCTCAAGCTAGCAAATTAATTTGAGCTTGGACGGTCAACATCAAACCTGCAATGTGGATTGTTCGGACCATGATTGACTTGTTTCATCGTTATTTTTTGCAGTCGCCTTCCTCAATCTCCTAGTGTCAGTCAGGATTAATTTGTTTAAATTTTCATCCTTGATCAACTCTTTCACTGAATTTCTCAGGTTTCTATAGCCTTTAGTATTGTGCTATGATCTCAATGGAATGCACATCACTAAAGTGTCCCTCAAGTGTCCTCCACATGGGTGTCGGTTGCTTAAAGTATTCTTTATTTTTGATTGCCTCAATCAATTTAATCATTGATATTTGCAATAGGGTGATGGGTGGATAATGTTGAGTAAATAATGATCGAGTGATTGTTATCACTTCTTCAATCCAAATAGAATGCGGGTCAGCAATTGTAAGGGGTATTTCAAGTTAGAAAGTATGTCGTTCTGCTTCCTTTTGAATTTGAGGTTGGCTTCTACTGTCATTTGCGACTTGATGGAGAAATCTTCTTGTTGGGACATCTCTCTGGTGACTTCGATGCAGAGGGCCCAACTGTATTATTATACCCCACATTTGTATGATTGTTAATATTGGGTTGTTGTAACCCGAGTACATATCTAAGTGGCCCCTTCCAGCAGGCTTTGGGTGAGGGCAGAATGTGTGATAGCCAATTCAAGGTTGACTAACATCTTTCTCTAGAACCTCACTATGAAGTTCCTAAGAGATTCACTTGACCCGTGTCTTACCTTTAGGAGAGCCTTCAAGCTCTTTAAGGGATTTTTAGTGCTAACTAGTTTGGTGATAAATATTCTTTTGAATTTTGCGAAGGAGGTGATAACTTTAGTGTAAGGCAGGAGAAATATTAGAGTGGTGAATCCTTGAAAGTAGTAAAGAAACATATGATCCTTTAGAGCATTATTTACTTCAAGCAATGAGATAGATGACTCGACGTATTCCACATGGTCAACTAGATCAGATTTTTCTCATGTGTGACTTTAGTTGTGGGATCTTGAATAGTGATAAGGTTTTTGCTTCTATGATCTCCATGCAGATAGTGTTTGTTAGTTGGTACTTTTTTCTTAGCTCTTCTCGGCAGGGGAGTTGATTCCCTGTCACTGTTAGGATGCTAAATCTCATTCACGACTGGTGTAGGAATTGGTGATTTATTGCTTGAGGTTCATATGATGGAATTTGAGGAGCCTTCCAATGTCTCCACTTTTTGGGTTGCGGGAAGAGCCCACTCTAGAGTTTGCTTGGATCGTCGAGTGATCCTTTCCTACATCTTGGCAAGTTGTTGGTTTGTCACAAATTCATTATTCTTCATGTTTCTAGAAGCTTTTGTGTTGAGGCGATTGGCTATTGTAGTGCCTGGTTTCGATTTGGCATCAATTTATACTCATAATTCCTGAAAGTGTGTTATATCTAAATATGTCCATAGTGATGTTAGAACCTTGCAGAATCTATCAGTTTTGTACAAGATCGACCATAGGAGAGACGTGAAAGAGGAGAATATTGGTCTAGCGCAGGTATAAAAGCTTGAAAGAATTTTATTCGCCATAATTTAAAAGCTTAGGGTATTGTAGATGCTTATCCTTGAATACCCCATCTGGTGCTCTATATATATATTATTTTAGTGCTACAAGATAAATTATAACAGTCGAATAAATAAATTAACACATGATTCAACCATTTCAGACACATGGACACAATAATCGAGATCCTAGAGAGTACACATCGATATTGTCTTGTTTGGTTGGAGGCTTCTAACACTGAGTATATGAGGTCAGCGATTGTTGTGCTGAAGTGGAGTCACCAGGCTTCTTCTGTAACCCTATCAAATACCCCATGGGATTGAACAAGCGCTTCTAGGCTAGGGCATGTTGGGGTGAGTTTCTCCATTTTGTGATCAGTTTCTCTGAGCTGTATAAGCTCTTCTTAATTGTGTGAGTGCCTCACAGCTGGGTGAAAGCCTATGAATTGGGCAGGTGTAGACCTGGCAAGATGTCGTCTCACTTGGGCGAGTAAATTCTTGATTCTTGTTGGTGGTCCTTCAATTTGGATGAATTCCTCCGTATTGTAATCCTGATCCTGCAATGTGCATGCAATATCAACATATTTTTTAAGGCACATCAAACTTTTAAGTATGTACAAAATAAAAGGTATAAAATTCTATAGAAAATTTAATCTTTGTCTATATTACATTTCATATACACTGTTGGCAATCACTCATTGACATTAGCATAAATAATTAGACTTGTTATATTCTTTGAGGTGGTCTTTACCTTTTTTCTATTAAATGTCAAATAAAAAATATACATACTAGATGCAAATTATAATAGGTGAAAATGTTGAGCATTGTTCTTTTAACATAATAAAAAATAATGTGCTCGGGCATCTCCTAGTTGTGTTGGACCTAGACCCTACCTTGTTGAGCATGTTTCAATATTTGTATTTTCCTTGTAAAAAAAATATTGACTTGATTTTAAGCCGATTCTAATGCAGTTTTGGAGGGTTTCATGTATGATAAAGATATAATAGTCTTTGTTGAAGTGTCCATAGTTCATAGGCGAAAATTCATCATCTGCATTCAAATTTAATGGAAGGGAAAGACACTATGATCTAACTCAAAGGTGCTGAGAAATGAACAATGATTGGTTATGATATTATTCACAATTGATAGCATCACAACTTGATTTATTATACTGAGATGTAGGAAAGTGTTAGCCAGGTTGTCTTTTTCAAAGATGTTTATAACTCAAATTATGGTAAATAATTGCTTGGAAAGTGCGATCTTTTTATTGTTTGTTATGATTTACTTTCCTTGTTGAAAATGAAGATGCAGTCTACTGGATCACAAATTTAAAGCTTTATACTTCGATCATTGCTTGAATTTACTTTTAATCATCAATAGCTTGATACACTTTTGTCATCTTATTAAAGCTTCTCTTTGTCACAGGAAAAGTTGATTATCGAGTGAATGAAGCAAGCTTGATGGATTATCTAGCCACAGACATGCGTGCAGTATGCCTTGCTATTGATAAAAAATGCAGGTAATTCTTTCGACAGAAATTTGGTCTTAGTTTAATATGCTTACACTGTAATTCCTTGCGACTGTTCATAAAGCAATAACCTTCATAAGGCAATTTTTTCGCCATTTACCCTTCTTATGCACTTGTGCGTTGTGATATAATTCCTTTAAAATTTATGGAGATGGTGCTTTTTTTAGAGAAAAGTGTCAAAATTTTCTCATGGCTTTTTTATGGGATTCATTATAGTTCCCAAGTCTATAAAAGTGAGAATTTGGTCCCTCTAGATTATTTTAATGATATCCAAAATAGTTCATAAAGTATTTCAATCCATATTAAAAAAGGCTAGGGAATAATTTAGAAGTTTTATGGACTCTGAAATTAAAATGACCCATATAAATAGTCAGGGAGACTATTTTTGACTTTTTTTTACTATGTTTTTTAATTCCTTCTAACCAATTTGTTTTCTTGCTGGGTTCATTTTAATGGTTTCTGATCCATTATGTTTTGATTTTGCTTTGGCCTTTTAGACATCCAATCGTTTGTGCTTCTCCATGTTATTGACTGTTAATGTTGTTTCAAGTTTATTTTTCCAATATCCTCACTCACTATGACTCGACCAGTACCTTTAAGCATGATTAATGAACATGCCAGAACTCCTCTTGCTAACACAATTTATAATCTTGCCATCTCATATTTCTTCGGATACTTATGTTACCGCATGATGATATTATTTTGTTTAATAATTAGAATTTTTCAGTAGTTGATGTTATTTTCTCCCATGCTGTCTAACCATCATTAATGCTCACACTGACATATCTTTATTTTACCCGTTTGCCATTATCTACTGAGTGGGGTTTGCTTTTCTGTGTTTGATGCAAAGCTTGTTCACTTTTTTCGACTGAATGTTACACCCCACTAATCCCAATTCAGTGCACTTATTGCATGGGCTTTGTCACAGAATATGCTGCAACTTAGGGGTACCAAAAATTGGCTCGACGCATCAACTTGACCTGAATTTGGTTAGAAAAATCCGGGTTCGGTTGACCAAATACTTTTTTGGTTGGGTTTAGGTTAGGAATCCTAACGTCTTTAACTTTGAGTCAGACCAAAATTGACTCAAAATTGGCACGCTAACCTGAAATGAACTCGAAATTGACCAGTCTAACCGAAATTGACTCGATATTGACTCTAATTTGATTTGAATAACAATCATGTCTTATGTTAAATGGTTTGTACGAGTCGGATTCAGATTAGTGGACCGATTTAATATTTAGTTTGGGTCAAATAGTTTTGGATCGGGTCAATTTTGGTTCAGACGAATGTGATCCACAAACCTCATTTGACATGCCAACTCTGCTCCTCACTTATTTCTAAAACTTCATCATGGGGTCATTTTCAATACGGCTCTCATAACTGCTTGGTGATTTGATTTTTTTTTTTGTACTAGTACTATTTCATAGGCATACTTATTGCCGTGCACGTGCAGGATTTGTACAGTCCATGGTTCAGCTGATACAGATGTACCGTTAGAAGATGCCTACGAGTTTGACAAAAGCATATCCAACCACAAGCTTCATATCGTTGAAGGTGCTGACCACTGCTATCTCGCACACTTAGAACAGCTAGGTTCTAGTGTTGTAGACTTAATAAAATCTGCTCAGGTAAATTCTCTCCTCTTAAGATTACGATTTATAGCTCTAAAATCTCTACTCCTTGATGTAGCTGGTCTATTATCATAGTATTTTATCTTGTAAATATTTTATTTTCCGGCTAATACAAATTTGCATTACAGGTCCTTGATGCTCCTGCAGCACCCTTGACTTGAGCTATTTTCGAGGTCATTGATGTTGCTTATCTTTGAATTTGGCACTATATGTTGCCTAATTTCTATTATCATTTTAACTTTCTATTGGCTAATTCATTCTTTAATTTGCAGATGAGCAAGTTATGTTTGCACATTTATGTTCTCCGAGATATGCAGTGTTAATAAATATGAGGTGTAATAAATGTATTACAGACTCTATACTCAAGTAAGTAGGACATCCTTGAGTATGATGACTATTGTTTTCTTAATTATCTGTTTTAGTTCTCTTTTGACTGTTTGAAGCTAAGTAATCCGTTTTGGAAACGGTGAAATAATCAGCTAGATGTGATTAGAAATCAACATTACTTTTGAACTCTAAACCCTTTCAAAATTCTTTCAAATGCAATGCTTATATTTTTGAAATTTAAAATGTGTGAATGAAATCATTTATTTTTTTGGAGCACTTCTTTTTTATGACTAACGCTAACCAAATCAGCTGTCAGAAGCAAATGTTATTACTGAATGCTGGGTGATAATCTGCTTGTGTAACCTACTTTACATTGCTGGAAGGTGCAAGATTTTTATGACTTTGGCCAAATTGTTTTGTTCATACTTGTTGGAATAATTTATCTTGGTTGTATTCACATCAAGTTTTTGAAAATATTTTCATATTTAAGTTTATTTTTATTACACCTAAAATTTCCAAAAATGTTCCATTCGGGATACTTAAATTTTTATAGCAGGATTACTGTGCCACTTTGTTAATAGTTGATTGAACCTTTCTGTATGCGAATGCCTAAGAGAAACAAATCAGATGATTGTTAATAAACAAAGTAGTTTGCTTAATTCTCTACATGTTCTTCTCCTTTTGTTATCCTGTTACTTTTTAATCCTCTTGACAGTCTTTCTATTTCCTTCACCAAGGTATCCGAGCAAAAGCATCAATGCACTCATCTTCACTCCTGATATCGCAATGGATCCATTGGCCACTTTATCCCTTCAGGAGGATCATGCAGCTCTTAATCTCATCCATTGCTCTATCCTTATTTTCTCTTAAGTTTTTTATTTCAAATTTTTATGTAAGTTGTTGCTTTCTATCTAATCATAGCAGCACCAATCCTAATATTTTAAATCACACTATTAGATATCGGATTTAGCTCAAATCACAATAGCAAAAATAAATATTATTATCAAAAATAAATTGACAATTATAATCAACACATTTTGAAGGGAAAATGTATCAACACGACATTGAAAATGTGAAATAACAAAAATATGACAAATAATCAAACAAGGGTGGGATTTCAGGGTGGTGGTGGTGCGGGGGTTTGGAGGTGACGATTAGGTGGAAGCGCAGGGCAAGAGGGCAGATATGAGATCCTTGTTGTCGTGGACGGCAACAAGGTTGGATTTGGATTCTTGGGAATTGGAACAACGGATATATGGCAAGGAGGCGGTGTAAAAGAGTTGGGACGGCTATTAAGTGGCGGGACGTGGCCCGAGAAGACTGAGACAACATTTGGAGGGATGGGGAGAGGATTTATGTTGGTTGGAACAGTGATGACAGCAAGTGAGAGTGCTGGAATCACAGGAAATGTGGACTGGAATGCAGAAACTGTAGGAAGAATAGTGTTAACAATGGTTCTAGGTTGTTGCAGCAGGAAATAGTAGTGAGGAGAATTCATAAGGAGAATAGGGAAGATAAACACCACATTATGAGATATATACAACCGAATCACCACCCAATCCCTAGGATACAACTATTGATGCGAAGATCGATGTCGGTGGCTGTCCTGCCAGAAACTTGAGCCAAAACAGCCTTCCAGACGTTAATCCAACACATATGGACAAAGATTAAAAAAGAATAATGGATAATAGAAAAGAAAGCACAAAAATGAAAATGAGATGGTTTCGACTCGTCTCTCGCGATAGATAATCTCATGTAAATTGCGGTAAATTGGTGCAGTAAGCTCCCGCATCATTTTGCTTGTGCATTTAGATAACCATTCAGAAACATCTTTAGCTATCTACTTGAGCTTACCACATAGCAATGAAAAGGAAATCCATGAACCGATATTTATTTGAAGGCACTCATGAATAATATTGTAGTTGTTGATTGTTCATTTGATGATGAAAACATCATACTCTACATAATACCCTACCAACAACTTATAAAGCATTTTGGATGACTTTACACTCCAAACAAAGTCCATAAGTCTTGATGACCATCACTTCGGACTATGCAGAGGGGATATTCACACTATTTCATCAATTTCCAACTCGCCTTGAATATTCTGTGTGATGAAGGATACAACTTCCCATCACATAGCAGAGGCGGGGGCCTTTCAATACAAATCACAAAGACCGTTTGTTGACCACACTTTTCGATCAGCCCATTCTTTGGTTTATATCCAATCTTATCAGGACATTGACATCCTTCCTAATGTCACCAGATGATTGAACGAAACTTGAATAGACTGCAACTTAAAAAGATTTAACATAAACTTAAAATCAAACTAAATATAAATTGAAATCAGCTAAATCAAAACAAAACAAAATATAATAATTGTCAGCTAAACCCTAAAACTGAGCTAAAAATTAGCATAAACCAACATACACATTGAAATTGTCATTTTCTTCACAAATCATTGTAGAACTTAAAACATCATTCTAAAAGTTGCGTGATATTTATTATCACATATAAAAGCCATGCAATCAATTTTAATGATTATATAACACAATTTCTTACATAAAAATTTTCACTATAAAAGAGGTCTCGCACACTCGAAATTATATTTTCACAAACTAAACTAGTGGTTGGAATTTCATTCTATAAGTTGTGTGATGTTCACTAACACATATGAGAAACATGCAGACAATTTGATGATGATAGGACACACTTTTTACATATAATTTTTTGTTTTTGGTTTTTAAGTATGAAAAATGGATTCACATTAAAATTTTTTAAAGAATTATTATTTTTCTACAAAAATTGTGAGAATGTATCAAGATTGTTGAAGTCTTTCAAATAGATCCCTCCGTGGACTCTGTTTGGGGGCCCATTAAGCATATGGTAATTTGAATGATAATTTTGATATTAAAAGAATAATCGTAATAATTCACTCAAAATGGACTCATATGAAACCAAATTTTAACTAAAGTAATTATGAGCTAAAATCACTTAATTTAATCAATTAAACCCTATAAAAAACTTTCATGGAAAATTCACCGATTTTTTCTCCTAAGGTGGTGCCCACTCCTTGACCTGAAATACCTTGTGATAAGACTAAATTCAAGAAAAATTAATCGCACTATTGAATTCCTTGTATTTTTCTCTATCAAGTAAGTCAAGGTCAAATTTTGACATTAACACCTCCAAACACTTATAATTACCTTGTTATTTCGAATTGAAATATCTTGAATTGGACATCATTTCAGCCAAAATCTATTGAATACTTGACTTCTTGCATTTTTCTTTTTCGAATGAGCTATGTTTGTGATTTGGGTCATAATCATTACAACTGCCTCCCCATATTTCAAATTTTCTCCCATTTTTTCATTATTTCCTTCCACTCTCAATACTCCTCGTTTCCTCACTTAAACCCTTCATTAGGTTGAAACTTCCAATCTCCCTCATTCTTCTCTTGCCTGAAAATCACCAAGCCTCCTCTCCTCACAAAAAACTCAGAAATCCCACATTCTTCCCCTCTTCTCCAATCACTATGGTGGAAACCATAACACAATACTCTCTTCCCCTCACTATCCAAACAAGAAAGGCAAAGATCCCACTTCATACAAGCAAGGAAATCAATCAATGCTACCCTAGAAAAGATATAAAATCACTTCCCCTTCTTCATTTCAAAGTTTTGCATGAATTAGTTTGTGAAATTATGAGTGAACCCCTTTTCTCTCTCCCTCTTCTGCTTCCTTCATTGGTCGAAACTATGGCCTTGATTTCCCTTCCTCTTTTTCTTCATTCATTTGACAAAACCACGGCCTTGCTTCCCCTCCTTTCCCTTTCTTTCCATCCTACTCAAAAACTCTAACCCTTACACTCGACTTCTCTCTCCTACTTGATGTCCACACCCTAACCCTTCCCTTCTCTCTTCCTCTCCTACCCAAAACCATACACCCTAACCCTCACCTTCTTCTTTCTTCTCACCTACTTGAAACCCACACCCTTACCCTCACATTTTCCTCTCTTCTCTCCTACCTGAAACATCACCCTAACACTCACTATTCCTCCCTCTTCACCCTACTTTAAAACATCACATTAACCCCCACTCATTCCTCCTCCTTAACCCTACCCAAAAACTTCACCTTACCACTTACCATTCCCACTCCTTTGCCCCACTCAAAAACATCAACCTATTACCCATCATTGCTCTCCTTTCCCCCTAACCAAAAACCAAAACCTATTACCCATTCATCCTCCCTTGTCACCCATCTGAAAACTTAATCCCATCACCACTCATTCTCTTCTTTTCACCCAACTTGAAAACCCAATACTCACACACTCACTTTCCCATCTTCTCCTTCACCCAAAAATCCATTATTAATACACTCACCTCCCTCCTCTTCTTTCCTACTTGAAAACCCATGACAAAAAAAAGTGTGTTCCATATGGTTATGTGCCCGTCTCATGCAAAAAATAATAAGAAACTTTACATGTGGTAGTTTTATATTTCATGCAAAATTTTCAGTGATTGGTTTTAATCTCGAACAAAAGAAAATTTCTTATATAGTTATGTGTATGTCTCATGCAAAAACAATAGAAATTTTTCATGTGGTAGCTTTATATTTCATGTTATACTATAAGTGGATGTTTTTGTCTTATGCAAATGAAAGTTGTGTTAGTTTCATGTCAAATGCAAGTTTTGTTTAACTGTGTCTAAGGAAAAATGCAAGTTGTGTTAGTTTCAAGTCAAATACAAGTTTGGTTTAGTTTTATGTCTTATGCGAAATGCAAGTTGATTAATTCTTATGCGAAATGCAAGTTGTGTTTAGTTTAATTCTTATGCAAAATGCAAGTTGTGTTTAGCTTTATGTTCCATGCAAAACCTAAAATGGTTAGCTTCATACTCCAAGAAAAAAATAATAAAAAAAATAAAATACAAGTTAGCAAGTTGTGGTTTTATGGAAATCTTGCATAGGATATCTCACTTAAATTAAAAAAAAAAATTAAAAGGCTAAAAAATAATATATTTCCTTACATGCATAGGGTTAGTCACCTTCATAAGTTTGAAACTTAGGGAATAATTTGCAAGACTTATAAAATTAGGTTGTGATTAATCTATAAATTTTAACTACAGAAAATTATCTATTTTTATAAAATTTATCTAAATCTAAATGTGTTCTAAATTGACTATTTTCATAAAATTTATCTAACTTTAAAAGATGC